ACCCCATATTCTAAAAGATAGCAAGCATGAACTGACACTACAGTTTTAAGTTTAAGTGTCCTGATTCTGGCCAGGACAGGGTTAACTTTTGCAGCAGCCAGGAAGGGCACACTGAGATCCTGGGGTTATTCCATATCATCTCAGGCCATGGGACTGGTGTCCAATCTGGGGCTCAAACGGTTGACATAACAACAGATCTGACCAGAGAATAAATAAATTTGCAATACGCATTTGTTGTGTTAGGTCCAGAGCTGCTGGTCACAATGTTGCTTTGTCTGACCACTTAGTCGTGGTACCTGACACCATATATACTCCTGTACATGAACTATGTGCTCCTCTTGGTGCTCTTTTTCGGAGCAGGGAGAGGGATTGGGACTGCTTTGTTGCTGTTCTGTGCCATACCAGCATATGACATGGTGACATCAATTGCAATGAGGGTCACTTGGTATATGTATTCAGTGTTGCTCTCCTGCCTTTACCTTGGGCTGCTACCTCTGAGAATTCATTAATCATACCCAGTCAGTGGGGAGAACAGGGGAGGATGAATTTTCACCCCCTTTTCCTCCTTCAGGCTTGTTCTAACAGCTTTTGAGAATTCTGAATTTCCTTTGGATGTTAAGGAAAGCATGCTCTTGTTGCTGTCTGCCAGGTCTCCTCAGTGTGCTCCACACCATATTTATAGTTACAAAAGAGATTTTTTAGGAAAGTCATTCAGAGATCTGCCCCAAAGGTGGACAGTCATGAATGGCATGGAATGCTGGAGAATATGGGCCAGTTTTTGAAGAACTTCTCTCCTCCAGTGGTTTGGAAGTTCACCCCCGAACAACTACAGAACCTTGATAAAATGGTAGAATATTTGAAAGGAAAATGTTGTGGTGGTTCCAGACAGGTGCAAAATAATGCAATATGCTGGGCCCTGGCTCCTACATAGCAAACACTGCTCGATACTAGACAGCATGCTCAGGGGAAAGAGGAGGAAAGCAGAACAACAGGCACTGTGCTCACTCCAGCTAAACCAGAGGAACAACCCATGCCAGTAGCAGTCACCCCTATACAGAAGAACAAATTCAAAACAAAATCAATTCACTTACTGATGGATGAGGAGGAAGTAGGGTCCTCAGAACAGGAGGAAGAGCTAGAGCTATTCACCCAATCCCTATCCCTGGGTGAGCTGCAAGGTATGAGAAAAGATTTCAACTGCCATCTAGGGGAGCACATTGTAACCTGGCTGCTCTGATGCTGGGATAGAGTGACCCATAGCTGGAAATTAGAGGGTAGCAAAGCCAAGCAGCTGGGATCCCTGTCCCAGGACATGGCCATTTGACAAGGGGATTGGGAAAAGAACAGAAATCCTCAGTCTCTGGCAGTGACTCCTGTCAAGCATGAGGGAAAGGTATTTTTTCAAGGATAATCTATCATTGCACTTAGGCAAGTGGAACACCATAGAGAAAGGTACTCAGTACCTGAGAGAATTAGCTGTGCTGAAGGTACTTTATAATGATTCAAATAATGAACAGTCTCTGACAGATCCAGATGAAGTCCAGTACATACAAGACATGTGGAGGAAGTTTCTATGGAGCACTCCACTGTCATATGACCACTCACTGGCAGTGAAGGCATGGAAAGAAGGAGAACAAACAGTAGATTATTTGGTTGTCCAGCATTGGCAAGATGAAGAAAAATCTCCCTTCCTCTCTGTGGGCCTGCATCTCGGCTGTGGAAAGACTGACCAAGGACTTCCAGCAATTTAAAGTGTCCCATGCCTTGCCAGTACAGACCAGAATCTCTGCTATCAGGAGCAAGCATCCCTCTGCTTGAGAGACAGGGTATACACCACAAGGTACCCTATGGTTTCTCCTGCATGACCATGGAGACAACATGAGGAAGATGGATGGAAAACCCACCTTTGTCCTAGCAGCTTGGGTATGTGAAAGGAAGAACAACCACCACAGGAAATTCTTCAATGATAAATGCTGCTCCTGTTTCCAGTGGGCAAGTCCTCAGACAGAATGGAAGGGCTGTTACTTCGTATCCTCTTGAAGAGACCTCCAGTTCATCATCTTTACAGGCAGTGAGCAATGTGTACAATTGGCAGGGCTAGATGGGCCCTGCCTCCAGCCAGGGGGAGGAAAGGGACAATTGGATCTATAGGACTGTGGATCTGATGGCCTGGCACATCAGACCCACAAGAGTATAAGGCTTTACTTGACACTGGTGCACAATGTACCTTGATGCCTTCAAGTTATGGTGGGGCAGAGTCTATCTGTATTTCTGGGTTAACCTGAGGAGGGAACTTCTAGTGCGCTCCTACAAGACGTTGATGGGGAATTTTATGATCAGGATTAGAGGGGCCCTGCCTCCAGCCAGGGGGAGGAAAGGGACAATTGGATCTATAGGACTGTGGATCTGATGGCCTGGCACATCAGACCCACAAGAGTATAAGGCTTTACTTGACACTGGTGCACAATGTACCTTGATGCCTTCAAGTTATGGTGGGGCAGAGTCTATCTGTATTTCTGGGTTAACAGAGGGGTCCCAACAGCTGACTGTACTAGAAGCTGAAGTGAGTCTGACCATGAATGGCATAGATTAGCACAGGAGAGAGCATTTCAAGGACCCAAAAGGGCATTGTTGGGCTTTTGGAATAGCTGCTGTGGAGACAGAGGAAGTTAAACAACTGAATACCTTGCCTGGTCTTTTAGAGGATCCTCCTCCTGTGGGACTACTGAGGGTTGAAGAACAACAGGTACCAATTGCTACCACAACAATTCACTGTCAGCATTACTGCACCAACTGAGACTCCATGATCCCCATCCATAAGATGATTCCTGAACTGGAGAGCCAGGGAGTGGACAGCGAAACTCACTCACTCTTTAACAGTTCTATAAGGCCAAGTCCAACAGAGAGTGGAGACTGATGCTAGACTATTGTAGCCTGAACCCATGTACATATGTGTATCTTGCTATGTGTACACAGTTGGAAGGTGTAGGATCTGGGCATGACATAGATGGTATAGAATAAGGGGTGGATAATGTCCTGGCTCTGGCCAGCACAGGGTTAACTTTTGCAGCAGTCAGGAGGGACATGCTAGGGGGTAATTCTATACCACCTCACACCATATGGAGGGGGCTGATGGGGATGGGTTCCCCTTCCAGTTGGGCTGATGTGGTGAGCAAACACATGTGAATCACTCACCTGCCTTGTACACTCTGTTATTAGTATAGTTGCTGTTACTGTTCATTTTCTTATTTAATTGCTGTTTCTAGTAAATTGTTCTCAACTCGTGATCTTTACCTTTTTTTTTTTGTGCCCCCAATTCTCCTCTCCATCCTGCCACACGGGTAGGGGGCAGGGGAGTGAGTGAATGGCACATGGTCTGGGGTGTTTCAGTGGGAACGCTAAATTTAGGAATACCATTCCTAAACCAGAACAAGCAGCAATCACATGTCCTTCTTCTTTGACACTCTGCTCCTCCTCCTTTGTCAAGAAAAAGGAAATCTTCATACAAAAGGATCAAATAACTTCCCAAACAATAAGATCCTCCTTGGTGCACCAGCAAAACTGAACCAGGAGTGTAATTTGATATAAGTGTTTTAATGGTTGGCCTGAGTCTTGGTGTGTGTCCTCTTAAACAGTTCTTCAGTAAACAGAATAATGAAAAATCACGTGATAGGATCAGGACAGCTTTACCAAAATAAAACAACCCAATCCTCTTCTCCACTGACTGGCAAAATATCTTACCAAGGTTACAGTGGTTGTATGCTGAGGTTCATAACCTTATCTCCATCTACACTCCTGCAAGTATGTTTTAGCCCACCTAAGCATTTCTAACACATTAGTTTATATTGAAATGTGGAAAACTGATAAAGAGAATTGTTGAAGGATTCAGATGCAGCTTTTGGCCCTAGTATTCAGTGTGCTCTATTAGCAAGAATAGGAGTGTTATTTGACAAATGCATTTTGTACAATCGGTTTAGCTACTTAAAACTATTTATGAAATATTCTCTCTTAATATATCTTAGTGAGAGGCTATAAATACAACTGCAGCTCACATCAAAATAGTTTAAAAGAGCAAAAGGCATGACAGGAAGTGGTGCTGGGTTACACAGCAAGTATTCTTTAGGACAGGACATCTTGCAGTGTGACTGCAGAACGAATTATCCCTGTGACTTGAAACACTGCATTGGATGCTGGGTTACACAGCAAGTATTCTTTAGGACAGGACATCTTGCAGTGTGACTGCAGAAAGAATTATCCCTGTGACTGAAACACTGCATTGGGAACTGTCAGTGAGAATCAGACTGAAGCAGAGTTCAAGGACTTTCTTTTGCAAAGACAGAAAGAAGCTTTGACTGCGTGGAACAACCCTGCCAAATCTAGAGCAATTTCTTGGTTTGCTCTATCTGTTTTACGCAAGTGACTTGTTTCCAGATCCTCTTAACAACACGAAAATGAAGCATGATAAAGCAGGATGAAGCTGGCAGGCCACAGGTCACTCTTTTCTAAGCAAAAAGAGCATGAGGAAAGAAAAAGGCTGTGGTCATTTCAGAAACCACATCTCACACAGACAGACCACTGAAGCAACTGTTATCTAAGTGACTCGGCTGAATATAACATCTCTTGTCAGTAATGTCCAGACATTCATTTTTTTCCCTATTGCAAGGGGTATTACCCTGCAGCTTCAACAATGTAGGTTATGACTGGGACGTGTTCTAACGGAAAACATAAAGGAATAAAGATGGCAAAAGGGTAGGAACCAGGAGACAGCTAGGGCAGGCCAAAAAGTAAACCAGAAATGTTCTACTTGCAGGTGGGGAAAAACCCAGAAAGTCTTATTTTCCTCTAACTTACACAAAAATAACAGACTTTATTTCAACACATTGGCCTGCTTGGTCACAACTGCAGCATTACTGCAGTCAAAATAAATGTACAAACTTTAATTCATTATTTAATTTTAATTTAATGTATTACCAGTTTCAGTGTTTTCAAACTGAACTTACCTGAAAGTCTTGATCATCAATTCCAAACCTCTCTCTTAGATTACGGAAAACCATTGGACAATATTCCTTAAATTTGAAATGACTTGGCATGTTTTCTCTGAAAGAATATAAAACCAAATCAACTTCATTTATGTGCATACGTAATTAGTAACTCTAGAGTATTCAGTCTCAATTCTGTTCATAGAAAGCAGAGGATAAGAAGATTTACAATCTCTCTTCTAATGCTTTCTTTTTTTTCCAATGAGATCTGGTCTCATAATTTTCTTTTTCTTCACAATGTTTAATAAATGTATACATATTTATTAGCTTGTTATCTTGTAACAGTAACAATGTTATGTTGTAGCTCCTTAGCTACAACATAGCGATGAAATAAACACAAACCATATTTTGACAACTTTGAAACATGGACTCCAAAACAGAAACAAATGCTTTCCCATGGCCCTGAATTTAATTCAAAGGTGAAATCTTGGATTATAAAAGAATTACTATACCACCTGTGACACCAAAAAGTACTGACAGTGCCAAAGCTTTGAAAAAATTTGACACATTCAAGCCTAATTTTAATATCCTGGTGTTAATTTTAGATTTATACAAGAGGAAAGTTATTTTGACCTTTCTCAGAGAGCAGAAGACCCAAAGTAGCTGAATTCTCCCATTTTCCAAATATATTCTTGAATAAAATACTGGTTATAGACAAACCAGCATTAATAGTTTCATATGTCTGTATGTATTGCTTATGGAGCATTTTATTTTTAAGAGACATACATATTACATTTAATGATTTTTGAGGCTTCTATCTGATTGGTATGACTTTGTATTATGGAATATAAAAAGCTGAACATTCTTCTTATTTGATATATGCTTTAAATTCTCATTCTTGGTAAGATATTACATCTAATAGAAAGTGTCTGTGAATTAATTGGTCATTAAAAACACCCAAACAAATGCTTATATGGGCCATAAATAATCACACCAAGAAAGGATCACCTTCAATATCGAAGATACTCATAAGGCAATAATAAACCATATGGAGGAAAAATTCTACCCAGCAACCTTTGCTGTTGCTTTTTAGAACAGCACAGATGGTTATGTTTATCACAGGATTAACTTAATCATCAAAACTTCAGTCCCATGCACTGAAAAATAACAGAGTTCATAGTACTTCATAAAAATATCACTGCCACTATCCACTTCTACACAAAATTGTTACTTGTACTTACTTGTTGAAAAGGTGATTGTCCACCTTTATCTTTGAGTATGCTTTGAAATCATCTGGCATCAACATAACAGGGATTTGAACATGGCTCAGTTCATTGATCTAGAGAAAACAGAATATATATTTAGTTGCTGATGCCTTTGCAAAGATGATGCATAAGTCTTCATTATGAAAATGCTATTCAGTCTACTATTATGTGTATGTCCTGGGAGTGAATGTAAGTCACAGAAGAATGTGAAAGCAGTTTTATTCTTTCCAGATTAAACACAACCACAAGATTGACACTTTAGAAGAGAAGAAACACCATTCCATATTGATACTTGTTTCAGGAAAAAAAGAGTGCTTCAAAGCACACCTGGAGTGTACTTTTTATGGAAGGCCAATGAGGATGCCAGCAAAGTGGTCTTCTATCCCAGCAGACTGTTCTTGCTGCATCAACTGAGCTATGCTTTTCAAAGAGAATTCAAATTCTGTATTTCCAATGACTATTTAACCTTGCAGCTTACAAGGTAGACTTACATGCCTGTGTCTTGAACTACTTATAGAAAATAAAGTGAAATTTTGAATACAGGTGAACACACACACTTTGGGCTTAATAAGCACAGGTTTATTTCTTACAGTAGTGCAGAAGTCAGGTGAGTTTTACTACGTCAAGGCATTCAGGCATTTTTTTGATTGTTCAAGTTGGGCAAACAATTTAAACAGATGAATTTTTGCTTAGAAATAGATGGGCATGTAAGTCCTAAAGTTCTCCTTATTTTCTTAGATTTATGTGGACTATCTACTCTTTCTAGCTTTGAAATAAATATTGTCAGTATTCTCCAGATTAGGATTTTTCATATATATTCGCTATCCACTTCTGACCACATCTATGGGATAAAAATGTAGACAACTTTAGCATGACCTAATTTGTAGGCATATTTTTATTACTGCATGTATTAATCTACCCCTCCTTTAGTAAGTTTAATCAAAACATGATAAATATAAGACAAAGAATAGTTAGCTTGCAACAGTGCTTCCAAACCAGGAATGAGATACCCATTACAACAACAGTCACCAAATACCCATGACATCCTTTTACCTATGTTCTTACAGCACTCTGCACCCTGGTCATGCATCTCCATTTCCCCAGTCGAAGCTTTTTGCTCATGCAGAGCACATTTTGCTTCAGCAGTTTTCTACAGGGTTTAGTGGGAAACCCCACTCTATATGAATACCAATGCACACTGGGGCTGGGTATGGCAACACAGAGGTGCTCCTTGGCTCTTAGCACTGCTTATCCACCACTGTTTTCCAACTAGGAAGCTGTTACTTGCCTGTAAATGCTCTCCTGCTTAAGAGAGGTTTTTGGAGAAACCCTCACTGAAGCAGCTATAGGTTATAAATACTGGAGGGAAAAAATGCACTCCCTGCAAGTATGACCTTTTGCAGAACTGAAGTTAAACAAAATAAGAAAACAGTGAGGAGCCTTTTAACTCTTAAGCAGAGGAAAGAAACCAACACAGGCAGGTCAGGTGGCCTCATTACTTTTCAATACTTTAAAGTCACGGTAATGTTACCTGCCATGTTTCATTTTTATTATTCAGATCCTTGCAGCCCACACAAAACCTGGTAAAATCTGTTGAATTTACTTTCCAGAATGCTTCTTCAAAAAGCCCTGAAAAGCTCTAGAGGCATGGCAGTTATATAGCAGAGCAGAGAAAGGAAACAGAAAAATGTCAGGGATGGACCAAAAGTGCTCCGCTCTGGAGTTGTAGGGAGAATGCTCTTGCCTCCTTCCAAAAGGAGAGAAAGAAGAAACTCCAGTAAATTTTTGAAAACACAGCTGTACAAACCTAATAAATCATGCTGACACCTCATTAAATATGACATAAAATAACAAAACACTGATCAAAAATCACTACATCTAAAATACATGCTCTTTACTAAAGTTGATGTTGCTGTATATCAATCTCACCCTGAAACCACAGGACAGTTCATGAGATGCAGAACTAGTCTAGCTGCTGTACAAATAAAACTAGAGACATGTAGATATATTACACAGAGATATGAAACTTTAGATTTGCTTATACAGAATTACTTTCTCTTTTAGATTGCCAGATCACAAATCAAATTCTGAACTTGAATGAAGGCTAATAGAAACCTATATGCATATATATTTGAGACAAAAATGATCCCAAGAACATCTCCTGCTGCATTCTGTCAAAAATGCTGAATTCAAACAGCTTCAACTATCCAGAACAGAAAGTTTGCTTTTAAATGTGCACTGATCAAATTTCCATGTGCATTTGCTTTCTTAATTTGCTGATCTATATATTTGCTTTCGTGCTGCAAATATTGAAATTTGTGTTAAATTTGTGCAAGTTTTACTTGTCCTGTAGGCCTTACAAGAGTCATCTACAGAGTGGAATAACATAGCCAAATGTGCTTGCATTTGCACACCCTATAGATTCTTTCACTTTAAGCAAAAATTCCAAAATACTTCTAAGAAGTTCCCTACAAGATGTGAATGCACACTTCCCCCATCCCCACTATCAGGAAAACCCCCAGCAGACTAGCAGAAGGTTTGGGGTTTTGTTTTGTTTTGTTTTTTCAGGGGTTTTGTTTCTGAGTTTTTGGGGCTTGCTTTTTTGGGAGGTGGGAGGGTCTAAGACTTTTTGGCTGTTGGGTTTTTTTTGAGATTCATCCAACTCTGAGGTATGTAAAAGTAATTTCTCTAATATTTTAGGGAATTCCTCTCTAGCAGAAGAGGAAAATAAAAAAGCAACTGATGAACACACAGTAGAAATGACCTTTGGTATAGCACACCAGCTGAGTAATGGCATGTCCCACTGGCACAGACCATTAATTAATTCAAACCTTTCAAGTATAAGGTCTGGTTCTTTGTGCAATAGTACATTTTTCAGCTAGATTTGATGAGGCCAGACTGGAAAATGCACACAAGACAGAAAGGAATACCCGTGTCATTAGATCCTAGTGGAAACTGGAACCACATTGTGGGGGGGAAGGAAACAATATCCAAAACTCCCCCACAAACAGCTCTTGAAAAGCTAAAAGAAAAGGGAAAGGTCAGAGGGATCAATTCTCTGCTTTGCCATCACTGTGCAAAGAAACAGTCACATCTGAAAGATGCTAAATATGCAATGCAAAGAAAACATTTTGAGCCTTCCAACTTAGCTCAGATGAAAATTTTGCTTCTTATTCTCTGCATTTGAAAGTCAAGCACAACAGAAAACATTAAGATGCATGTGATACCTTTGACAAGCACTATGTGCATCTCTTCATGTTACCCATTAAACACAGCTAGCTCCCTTAGCAATGGCAAATGAGAGGAAAGTTAGATTCCCAATTACAATAGGAACTGTGTTACAATAGCTGCAATAATTACATAAGAAACAAGAAGTACCCATTTTCCTCCAAGGAGTGCTTCTGAATGTAATAAAATCATAAGCAAGAAACAATTTCCCACAAGAGATAATCATGAGGCATAAATGAAGCAAAAAGAGCCCACTGGACAGAAGAAGACTTGTTGCTGAGGGCTCAGGATCAAACATTTATTTAATTACAATTACTTGTGAGAACCCACATGTATAGCATCTCTGCAAAAAATGCATGTGCATCATATTGAGAAAGAAAGTTCTTTGAGCCCTGCAACCTACGTCCTTTAACTGCCCTGAATTATTGTTGTCAATGCAAAATTTTGCTGCAGTTTGTCTTTTTATCTGAGACAGACAATGCCTGCTGTATCTTTGAGGAATTTAAATCCCATATAATAGCCTTAGAGAACGCTTTGTTTTAAATATGACTAAGATTTTAGTTGCACGGTAACCATGCATATTATGTATAAATACCTCATGTGTATTAATAACCTTTGTAAACTCAAACACACAAGGCATTAATAAGTGACCCAGAAACCTTCCTTTAAGTAATTCATTCAAATACCTTCTGTGATATTCGTATAAACCCACGTGGTTATGCGAGACAGAAACATCCTCCAACAACTCACAAGCTTTGAGGAGGAATAATTAAAACCTTGGACTGGCATTGCCCCTTTAAACACATGGTACACCAAATTGTGGCTGCTCATGAGCAGTGGTCATGGCAGGTGGGAGGGGGCCGAAGCAAAAGGAAGCTTTCAGGCAAAAAAACGACTGATTGCAACTCATTTTGCTCCTGCAGGTTGAGGATTGAATTCACACTGTCAGGAAAACAGAGGTTGTAATTAAACTGCAAATAAGGGAATAATAAAAGCCTACTGGACATTGAATAAATAGTAAGACTCAGCTGGTAATGATTCTGAAATTAGCACACAGAGAGGTGTTCCCACAAAGCCATCTTATATTGGTGACATTTCAAATAAGCTTCTCTAATTTATATGATTTGAAATCAAGCAATGAATATATCATAAATTGTTAGGCATTATTAATGGCCCTTATTTAATTCAGATACATTCACCCTAAACACCACATTACTAGGGCAATGCATAATTAAGCATTAGTTTTCATTCTGTCAGAACATAAGCAGCAATAAATTGCTTGTATGCAAAGCAGACAATGAGATATTTAAGCAGCATATAATAAAGGCAATTTACAGCATACATGGCATGTTTAGCTAGAGGAGTCAGAACAATGATCCTGTTCTCCAACAGTTACAAGCTGATGCCTATTGCTACAGTGCTACAGAAAAAAAACCTGTGTAACACATTACAGCTGGTATTATTTATTAAAATATCCAATCCAAACCAACAACAACAAAGCCCACATTAAAAAAAATCAAAGAAGCCACGCACAGTGTCAGAAATTTCATCCCAAGCAGACTACTTAGCAATGCTTAGTGGCTCCTTTAGAAATCCTCTTCCTATTTAAAGGCTTCATTCTGTATGTGGTTTCTTGCATTTAATACTGCAGTTTTAATGTACACCATAGACACTGTTTCCTTTTAATTTAACATATCAGCCAGGCAGACTCGCTGGCTGAAACCATGGAGGGATGAGGTGTTTTCACACTGAACAGCTTGATGAAACATCTCAGTCACAGTTATGGCTCTTGGCAGTTTCCCTGCTGCTCCTGCTGCTGGATGTGGCTGAAGTTGTGGAAGTGCTACTTT